ATTGTAAATTGGCACTTTTTAGCGACATTTTCCATAGCGTCTGACGGGAACTACTCACACAGAAGCGATTTTTCAACGAGATTTGGCACAATTTTACCACTATAGTTTAACCAAATAGCATTAATTATTTACGTTACGAAAACAATGAGTTTGCACTCCTTTACTAATCTTGTTACCCTTTATACAATTGCAAGGTGTTTTTTAATTTCCTTTTTTCCAAACTGTAACTTATTTTGGGTCAATTTGTTGATAAATCATTTAGGTATTACCAGCCAAATACCTACTTCTTTAGGATTATTTCAATATTCTGCAGCTTTTGCCAAAACACATTCAGTGCCGTTTATATACGAAGTAATTTTTGGTTTAATCCTCAGGAGCTAAAGCCAGAAAACTGATGACGAATGCAACCAGGCTGGCAAAACAGCAAATGACCGGGAAAATGCAAACATGAATAAGGAAAATACAATTTACTTTTGTGTAATTTGGATGATCTCATCGTATGCACACATATATACATACATATAACAATTTCAAGTCTTCTCGCCTGTCGGTAAATACCTATGTGGTAACAACACAGTGTATTCCAAATAACATTTACCAAATTCTATTTGGCATTCTATACTCGTTTTAGTTTTTGATTTTATGTTGGTTATTGAAAACAGAGCAGACCCGATAGTTCAAAAAGCGCAATGTTTGTAGAACTGTAGATTTTCTGTAGAGCTTCTGTAGAGTCAGGTTGACATGGATCAACAATTGTACATTCGCGAACCGACTCGGTGATGCTCAAATGGAAACGTATATGAATTGTTAAGAAATGATATTTTCGCATGTGGGGAAAAAATCTAGTCCGATTCGTTCCAGCGCACGGACCAAACAAATAAACAGAGTTCATCTGCTAAACGCCGGGGAGCAGGGGGCTGAGGATGAGATCACAGATTGCAAGAATATTGTGTATAACCTTCCGCATTAGTTTGACCTCATAAATGAGCCTGCGTAAAATGCAAAGGAATCAACGTGCTTTGTAGCCTCGTATCGGAAGAAAACTGCAATCAAGCATCCTAAAATTACTGGAGATAGGTAATCGATGTCAAAAATGGGATCGTTTTATTTACTGCACCAATAATCTTACGTGTTCGATTGATAGATTATACGAACGATTTTATAAAGATAACGGCGTTGAAACGTGGAAGATTTAAGCGATTGAGGCCTGGTTTTGGGTTGTGCATCCGGGACTATACTTCGAGGGGAGTCAATTTCATACTTGAAGTTGTATATAGGTCTGTGTCTGTGTCCATGTCATCGGTGCTACTACTATGTACAATGAAATTGTGAATAAAACGTTTAATATCACCCGGTTTTTCAACACTGTCACGCATTTTATTTGCCTCTTCATTTACTGATACTTAGTTTACATCAAACCACTTCCAAAAACTGGAAACTGGAAACCCGATCTCATCTCTTAGGTTGCCAGAAGCAATGAATTCTGAAGATACTCCCCAGATTTATGAACTGAGACTCTGATTCAATCTTCTTGCATCCTTCCGTTGACTCTTCCCAGGAAAGTTTGACGAAGATTGTGTAGGTAGACCAAACTAGGAGAATAAGTCAGAAATTATTCAGTAATGCGCTCACTAGTGACCGTATATTTATACTTCTGGATTCCGAGAAGAAATAATCCGTTTAGGCTATGCTCCAGGTTGTGCTTATCTTTATTTTGAGAGTTCACTTGAAGCGCCAACAAAACGCAAACCTGAACTGCAAAACAGCAGTGGGATGGTGGAGCACGATAACCCGATCCCCGATTGGCCGGTTCGTTTACCTTTTGATATGTATGATACGAAGCACAAAATAGAAATCATTTAAACAATGTGTGAAATGTGCGCAGTGAGTAATCGAAAACGTTTCTTTGAGGGAAAGATATAAGCGGTCATTTTTGCTCAGAATTTAGTGAAATGACATTTGACCGATAAACTGTATAGATCCTGCATGATGGAACCACATATTTGCGATAGGTTCCCTATCTATCAAAATGCGAGCCGTTTAAATAGCCACAGTTCATGGGGACAAAAGCAATGGACATGGAATTGACATTCCACTTATATATTTAGCAATCTTTATTTGCTTATGCATGTTCGTTCACCATCATCGACCAACTTAATGTGCTATAGCTGTTTACGTACCAGTTTATTTTAGAGAGAGATTGAGAAGATATAAAAGAAATGTGGATATCTCGCGATATGTGTCTTCTTTTGGAATTGAGGAAACGGTTACAACTAAATTGGGTACTTTCCGCTTTTCAACGCTCAGTAAAAACGGCATACTGCATGCACATAAATTTCATAGGAAATGAACACCGCAGGTTCGAGTCAATGACGACCCGTGGGTATTCACTTATTTATTCTACATCTTTTACAAATCAAGTTGTATCATACCTATGTTTCTAGCTTTTTCGACATAATTTCAAGTCCTATCAGTATTATTCCAAGCTGCTCTGTTGACCACAATAGAGATTCTAGTCTCAAGTACTGCTTAAGCCCATTGACATTGCATGGTTAGCCAACATGTAGCACATATTTCTCAACCAAATCCGATTGCATACCCTATCGTTCACCCTACCTGTACGCGTAGGCATCTGTGTGTGTTCCCGCTCCCATGAAAAGCAGATTGGACCAGGTCCCGCGAACATCAATGGATCATGCACGATGGACGCTCAAACCATTGTTTTTGCCCATCAATAAGACACTACTCATACATGCTCGATTGATACACGTGTTACGGTTATCTATATTCCCATCCAGTTGGCGTGTTGATAACAGATTATATCCCATTTATCTGTTGCCATCGTATAAGCTGCAGCTCAGCTTCGACCGTTAATCTCCTGAACAATCAAAATAGCCATTCCAATCAAGTATCCGGAACGGAAATATATATCACTTGTCCGAATATACTATCAATACACATTGTATGAAAACACAGAGTGGCGAAAAAGCTCGTTTGTGATGATTCTTCTATGGACTAGCACATCGCAATTTATTTCAAACTGTTTAATAGGTGGGCGGGTGTGAGAAATCATGACAAGTTGGAAAGGAAATAATCTGCATTTAACTCACGTTTACTTGTGAGTAGTGAAGATAATTGAAATTGACTGATTTGACTGGCTATCCTTCGGACTTCACCTTCACGCACAATCCTCGTTTCATCGATTCAGCCTACACTCGGAGGCACTAGACTCGAGTGTCGCTCTCATCAGAGCCCATTGGTAGTACATATCCACCCTCCCGTCCCGGATCAACATTCCACTTCCATGACCGGATGTTTCTCACTCGTTGGTCCTCACACAAGCGAACTGGTTGGGGTCATTGAGTGTAGGTGGGGGATGGCTGTATCGTGTGGTGTCGGCCATGGATGACTGAGTTCTTTTTGGGGGGGTGGGGGGGTGGACTATGTAGGCGGAATCCGACCGCTTCGGCTGTGATCAGAATGCGATTCCTAATACTCCTAGATCGACGGCTGCGAACTAGCAGAGGGGTCGAATTGCCTGGGCCGCATTAACTACGTGGTTTGATTCCACGATTGAGCTGTTGATGGTCTTAATTGCTCCAGTATTCAAACAGGTCGGGTAGTGCTTACGGACTCGTTCAGATAAGCGTCTGCTCGATAGACCAATGTAACTTGTCCCACAGGAATAGGTAAATAGGTACACAAAGGAAGAGATAGCAGAAATAGACAATTTATTTTTGAGTTGAAAGCAGATAAGTTGCGTGAAGATGGGCCTAAGGCGCAATTTGGCTGCGTGGAATGCTTTTGTACAACTGTTTACGTGTCACCATCTGGACAGCTGCATCACCCTTGAAAGGTAGCGATACGTCTGGAATAAACCTCCATTATGTATCAAAGGTAACATGGTATCATGATATCTGGCCCTTATTAAACAGTTTTATGTAAATTGTGATGTATTATCCCGTCGATGAATCACTGCAAAAGAGCTTGTTAGCCACTCTATTTACTTACAATGTATCTCTGTCAAACTAACTGCCACTGACATGCAGTCAAGGTGATTGACAATATATACCAATTCTGTATAATGTTTGCACAATTTTTAATCAAATCAGAAAGTCTTAAACTGTCAACGTTGACATGATTCTCCATTTCGCAATCACGTTTTAGGTTCAGGTGCTGCACTCCAAGAATGTGTCGGAGGCCCCTTAGGTCGTGCTTTTGAATTTCAATTGAGCGATGCCCAAATTCGACATTTTATTATGACTTATGTCATCGCTTTCATTGTGTCATTATATCTAAATGTTTTCTATTTCATGCGAGCAGATAAAGAGATTATGGATTGTTATTAGTACTATCCAACCTGCCCTGAATATTTGAGAGGAATCCGAAATTCAACGCCTAAAAATAACGTTCTCCATTTTTTATTGAAATTATTTTCTGAAGATGGTTATGTTTATTTTTAGTTGAGCTTTGACCTAGAAAGTATAGTACTGTGTTTTAGCAAGTTATATTTTTCTCTAGCAATCATGTGAAGCCTTAAGAATGTTAGAAATTCATTTCTCAAATCTTGCAGTAACACTAAATTTCTCAGACTCTTTACTGACAGCATATTTCATTAATTTATTTTTTGCTCACATATTTCCGCAAACAGTGTTTTAACAATATAGAAATAAGTTGAACGGGAATGACGACAAAGCGGCGAGTGCAGTCTGCATTTGTTTTTTGACTGGAGTTCTCCGAAAGGAAAAGTCGTATATGTGTCGATTGGAGAACTGTAAGGTCGAGTAAACGACGTTGACCGCCCAATTTAACAACAAATGAACACTTCAACAAAAACACGCTGTCCAATTATAGCATAAAAGCTGGTTCCAAGCTCGATCAGTGAAACTCATTCAGTGAGAGTGGAATTTAAAAAATATTTCTGTCGTACACTAATGGCTCCGGAAAAACATGTACATTTTAAAAAGCAATAAACAAGCACTGTTTTACAAAATTGGTTTTCAGACTGTCATTCTTGATTCGTCAATTTCCTCGTTTCCCTTACGAGGTTTGCGCCACTTTTTCAGGTCTGGATTACAAAGCAATGAATAGGCCAGAAGCCAGCGATTTCGAGCTCGTATAGATCGGCTAGATACAGAGCTGTGATCCGACGTCAAAGGTCCACCTGCACTGGAAGCGACCGCACTCGCACGAATCGACCTCAGTGCCCAAAAGTTTTGCTCACTTGGATTTGCCCCATCCACGCGGGAAAACCGCATTCGTGCAGCGTTTGTGCGATGCAGCCATTCGTCAAAGCATTCAACCTCAATTAGCAGAGCTGAGTCAAAGTTTGAGCTCTGTGCTAAATCCTCATACTGGTTTTGCAATAAAATCCACAAGAATGCTTTCACAGTCGGATTGTTTATCATAGTGTCGGAGTAGAGGAAACCCAGAAATGCCATGTAACTAGTGTCCATGTTTTGAAGTGGAAGACCAAGTGGAGAAATATCCAAACGAGAGATACAAATAGCACTGCTTATTGGACAGTACAGAATACGTCCGACCCCACTGATTAAGCCAAATATCACATTGTAAAAGCTGGCAAAGAAAGCGTAAACTTGTAAGCTTCTCACATTGTTGAACCCGTAACTTTTGCCACCGTGCTTGGTGAACAAAAATCGAATGGCCAATTGTTGCACTGTGCCGAACACACTAATTAGCACAATGCTTGGCCAGGACGTTTGAAAGAAGTACACTACAAATGCATATTTCGTGAACGCATTCATATTGACCACGATAGCCAGAAAGATGAATATGGTCCCGTAGATCAATACTTGTAAATAGAAACCGCAAGCCATCAGGGCGATTTGATAACTGGGATAGAGAATGGTTCCATGAGTGACTTTGAAAGGATCCAATAAGAGTTTCATGGCGGGCACAGACTCATAACCGCGACGGTAGATACCAAAACACAATCTTTGGTAATTCAGCATAATTTGAAATACATTCACCGAATTGGAAAATATGGCCAGGAATGAGGTTGATATCACGCAGACCAAAATAATGTCAATCCAGTAGTAGATAAATGCATATTGCATCTTCAGCATATCCTGGTGACTAGAATTGGCAGACATCTGAAACAGAGTGTACACATAACGAGCGTTGGAAATGGCCAGATTCTCCTTGAGAGTTTTGTTTATCTCCGGAAATTTGTGCGTGATCGAACTTCGACCGTGTGAGGCCAGATTATAAAACCATGTGAGCGTTTGATTCATCAAGAAGTACTGAAGCAGCAAGCTCACAGTCAGACTCCAAATCAGTATGGGTGGATAGGTGAAACCGACTGGAGGATTATACAAACGCCGCACGGCATTTCGTAATCCAACACAACGGCGCATGGATTTTGTTTGATGTTCTTGTGCAATCTCATTCAAACCATGAGCCCGACACAGACGAGATTGGACATAACGTGCTACCCCTGTCACATAGACAGACGGTTTGTTCAATCGATAACGTAACCAGTCGGTATTCAATGCTTTGCGGTGCACAATCAATTGTTGACAGAAATAAAACGTTAAATACAAGAATCCGACCAGTGTTGGGAGTTGAAGAATGGCTTGACGCATTGCTCGGTCGAAGCCGAGACAAGTGGCACGTCCGAATGACAACAGTAGCAGAATGGACTGAAGCAAGCTATACAAACCACCGCATGTCCAACAGAAAAATCCACCCCGAGTGNCGAGTGACGCTGATAAAGACTGGTAATAGGGTGGTGCTCAAAAAAGCGATTGCAAAAACCCGATAGAGCATACTCAGCCAGACCGGTGCGAATGGCATCGCACGTCTCAATCCATAATATTCGGTAAAAATCCCAGCAATAATGTTAAAAGCGCATAAGTAGCCGGCTGCATAAGCTAATGTGGAATGACGGTAGAACATAGAATTCATGGGTAACGGAAGGCCGGGATAGAGTTTGAAATAAGTCGATCGATGACAGCAGCCACAGCAGGCTGCTGATGAAGAATCTGTTCTCGTTCCACGGTGAGGTGTGACAGTTTCGTTCGAACATTTTACGTGGCGCTTTCTTCCGGGTCGGCAGCAAGCTCGACGTTTTGTTTGTAGACAGACAATAATAGTATAGACCAGAGACACCAGAATTAGAGGCCCATAGAAAGATCGCATGTAGATCTGTGATTGCTCACATTTCGGACTGACGAAGTTTTGGGACGAGGAGTGGTTGCCGCGAAAAATTTGAATGACGGATCGAATATCCAAGAGATCATTCATGAGTAGTAGTGGTAGTGACGAATGCTTGCATGTACGTCTGAAACAAAAAATACAGTGCATCAATATTCTTTCTCAAGAAATAAAACATAATTTGATACCGATTGCTAGATATGTTGCAACCTACAGCGAGACAAATTCATCTCTTTACTCTCTGCTTACAAGGAAGGTAATATTCGTGTTTTCAGTTTTCATTCTTTTGATATATGAATCCCATATGCTCAGTAAAGCAACCATAGAAGAGCTCAAGTATTTCAGGTGCCACATTTATGTTTCATCTGTATCACCAGAGTTTCGAAACTGGAGCTTATGAAAGAAAAATGCAAAAGATGTGTTGGGGAAAGTAGAAGAAAATTTGGATTTTTGAAAATGGGAAATAAAAATAGTACATTTGAAATTAAACGTGTACTCAAACCTTTGAGAGAAATGCAAGTGATTTTGCAAGCACATTTAGCTGGAAACTATAAACAATTAAAAACGTAAATAAAAAAATAATTAAAAAACGTGGAGTTGATCCAAGTTTTTAACCCCAATAGACCCTGCCTAAATGTACATATCCGTTCACTAGGATTTAAAAATCCAATGTGCCATACATGCGCCTGTTTGTTTTACATCAGTGATTGAGAAGAATAAACGAAATTTTAACATCTCGCGACAAACGCGTCTTCTTTTGGTCTTGCTACGATGGATAAATGGAAAGCAGTACATAGAGTAATTAAATTAATTAAAAACATCTTGCGAATGAAATCATAAAGGACTGTATGGCTCTAAATGCCTTAAAAGATATCGTTCAGTCATTGAAACAATCACTGGGTCTCTATGCGATGAACAGACTGAAACAGTTCCTTATTTTTTTCATAAAACAAATAAATAACACTGCCATTCAGATTCTACTGAACTGAGTAAATCGAAATCAGGTGATAGATTTCATCGCGTACAGTGCAAATCAAACGTGCTGTGCAAAGCGAGACAAAATTAGACATTTGTTTCGACATGATTGGTTCTGGTAATTAAATCCAGGATATCACAAATAAAACGCAAACATACTTGGCCACCGGGTGAACCGTTTGCATTTAGTCACGAGCGAAGGTCAAGCTCTACCGAAACACGGACGGATTTCAGTCAACTCCAGTGAACGCTTTTCATAAGCACCGAAACACTAAACCACTACTGTAAGGATCAGTCAGAACGAAGTAACTCATTTGTTGTAGAGGAACTACGCAACAACTAGGATATCTTATTTAACAAACCGGACAAAAGAAGGATAACAGTGGTTATAGTATCGCACCTTAGGCTTAGACACGGTTGATTTTATGATCAGAGAAAGTGTTTCAAAAGCTTATCAGTGTATAAGAATATGAAAATCCAGGAATAAACCAATCTATTGGAGCAATGAAGGTTCATGAGTTGTGCTGTCTAACTCAATGAATTTCAAGGTAAGAGGCAATAAAAACCGAAGCGTCACTGTGCGGTAATAAGTACACCGCTGATGAGTAACCTGGTACCAATTATGAAGAAATTGGGAATATCGGTGTTTGTCAGTGGTGAGCAAATTTGATTAAATTGCAAAACTCACCACAATTCGAGAAGGCGCTGCCAAATTTAGTTTTATTCCTGAATGAAAAGAGCTAATGCAACAAACCTCTATCTTTAAACAAATAAGAGATGTTGTTTACCTACCAGATATATGATCAACTAAGCACTAAACGGTCTATAATTCCCAGGTTATACACAACCCAAGATTCTCAAAACAAGATTGGAAGATAGGTGGCGCGAATGAAACGTTTACCAAAATCTGACAGAGATTTACCAGTAAACCAAATTGAATCAGTTCCTAATAGTTCAACAGAAGTGTACCTTGATGAAATGTATGGCTGTTAGCGTGAGGGCGATCTCTTCTGTGGTGATGGTGGATAATAATCTGGTATACCCCAGAAACACTAGCGGTGAGAACAGAAAAACTTGTCGGCTCACTGAAAGAAATTTGATTAATTGAATGCCAAAAGGTTTGGTGAAAAATGTCAGAAAGAAGTTTTTTCTTTTGTCATACGAAGGAGATCCAACGTTTACAAATAATGTTGGTGGTTCCTATGATCGAGATTCGAAACTAGGGTAGACTGACCGAATTAGTTATTTTGGATTCTTTCAGATGCATTTGTGACGCATCCTACATCGACTGAACGACAGAGAGTTACATTACCGGATGAAGGAGAGTCAACCACGAACCGATATGAATAATAAACGTAGCTGACTAAACGCATCTAGTGGATACCATGCAACAAACAAATCAAGATAGAGCTTTCACTGTCATTTATCGTCTCCCCTAATGAATGCTAGGGTGTTCCGGTACGCATTCTAGCAATAAACGTGGCGATCGGGATTGGAAAGTTGACCTGTTAACTCCGTACGAAAAGTATTTGGTTCACCCATAATAGAATTAAGCCGCCTTCTGGTTTCCGCAATGCTAGTGAAACGAATCAAATGTTACACGCAATTTCACCGTGATACATTCTTACACGTAGCTGTTGCTGTGTGATCTGCATTCTATAATGTTCCCTATCTTATATTTGAGAGTTTTGAGAGCAAATTACTTCGACCAATTGTTTTGCAGAACTGAATTGTTCTAAATGCTGGGATGAGTATCTTTCAGATATTAGCAAAACAAAGCAAAGTCGGGGAAATGCTTCACTGTTGTAGTTTTGTACGATTCAGGCAGCACTGCAGGCCAATCCGCAGTATAACATTCTGGGAAATTGCCTTACGGAAGCTGATTCACTAAGTTGATCTTGAAATCCTGAAACGCATTTCACACTGAAATATTTAGTATTTTGTGCACAACAATCCTCGGAGGGGGGGCACTAAACGCAATCAAGCCCTTGACCTCCTCCGATTTTGATAGTTTGCACACGCATCGCATGTGTTTCCAAAAGGATAAGATAAAATACAACCAATCCACGACTTAATCATATGGCTTCACATCCATGACTTACAGAATGATCCAATATGCGTGAGGACGACCGTAAATTTATGGGTTTCTCAAGACTTTTAACTCAGAATTAAGATTCACTAGGTTACTTTTCCATCAGTTCGATTGGCTGGCGGGGCCTAATTTGGCAGCACTGTTGCTTTCCGTTTGATCATTGCTACATAATCACTGTTATTTCCATTGATTTTACACATCAGTTGATTTGTGGTTCAATACTATAGATATTTTGTTTAATTACGGTGACGCCATTTGCGAAATTCCATGGAGCCTTCACGAAAATGCTTGGAAAAACGAATTATACCTGATTTCTGGAAATCTGCCTCCATCATTTAAATGCCTAAAAGAGTAACTCCAAACTTCCGTCACATCGTATATACGTCTGTTTTGTTGAAGCTTTTCGATAAGTTACCCCTTCAAGGAATGTTATCCCGGCTGAATGTGCAGGACCCTAACCAGTTTAAGTACCGCCACTCTCGCTCCACAATAAATGTCCTAGATTCTGTGATTAATAATATTCTATCACTACTTGAGTGTAATAAGAAGCTGTCACAATTGATTTCTTGGATTACAGCGACTCCTCCAGTTTTGTTGACAAGTCAACGTTGTTCAATACGTTGTCTTCCAGTGGAATATCACATACCATAACTGCGGTACTCAATAATCATTTCACAAATCCATAACGGTTCACACTTTACGTTGGTCTTTCCTTCCATCCAATAATATGATTATCCAACCCCAAAATGTCAGGTATCTTTCTGTATTGATCAGCAAATATTTATGCTGTACTTATCAGGCTATTTCTATATTTGGAATGGTCAGAGAATTATCATTTTATCTCCTTTGCCTGAACGCAATGTCTGTCCCTCGCTTCTTAATTAGACTTTTTCTTTTTTATCCTACTTTGCCCTAATGGCTGTACGGGTCCCCTGTAATCTTCCCACGGATGATCAAGAAGGACGTTAAATTGCTTTACAGATACTTAACACATTTATTAAGAAGTAGCGGGATTTCCCACGAAATTCTGACACTTCATCTTTTGTCGAAATAGTCCTACAGAGCACATTTCCAGTAAAAGTACAGAGTGACGAACGAGCTCGTTTCCAGTGATTCGTATTTATACCAATACATCCATATATATAAATATATATATATAACTACTTGGGAATAAATTTTTCTTAGTAAAATCAAATCAAATGACAGATTTCTAGAAACGATTTCGGCAAGAAACCGGAAATCAGATTCGCCACGATCACNNNNCCATCTGTCTGTCCACTCATCCGATCATCGAGATTACTTGGTAAAGTAGATTTCATCGTCTCACAACATACAAAGCCATACTTTTCGTTATTCACAAAA